GACTGTTAAAATGTTTTGAAGAGATTCGTTCAAAACCTCTGGACAAAAGTCTTCATTAATTAACTTGTTTTGTTTAAATTAATAGATATTGTTTAATAGACTCATTTTTATATTTATAGGCATTTAATAATGGACTAATTTGTAACATTTAATTATTGTTTTTTTTTTCTTTTTAGATATATTTTTGATAACCAGAAAAAAATGTGTGTATATATACACACACACAAGATTGTTTAATATTTTTAAAATAAGTCTCTTCTGCCCACCAAGCCTTCATTTATTTGATCCAAAATACAGCAAAAACTGTAATATTGTGATTATTATTATTATTATTTTTACAATTTAAAACAACTGTTTTCCATCTGAATATATTTTAAGATGCAATTTAAAAGTTTTGGGTCAATTAGAACTTATTTTTTTTAAAGAAATAAAATAAATGAATACTTTTATCCAGCAAGTATAAATTGATAAAAACGTGACAGTATAGACATTTATAATGTTGCAAATGTAAGAGGCTGTAAGAGATTTATTTTATTTTAAAATATAAAGGTACATTTCTTTCTCATTCTGTGTTTCAATGCAATTGATTTTTTGAAACAGTCTGAACAATAACAAGTGATGTTGCAAGTAAATGCAGATTTCCTGTTTTTTTTAATGTTTTTTTTTATATACTCATAGGAACGAAGAGGAACTGGAACATCTCACATTGAGGATCATCACGAAAGGTGGCTCAGCAGATGATCCTTCACAGACTGGGGTAACGCTGGAAGGCATAGAGGTGATGAGTCACGAACGCTGTGCTAAGTGAGCTGGTCGATAGGAATTACGTTTGTGAAACTAATTACATGGAAATGCATGAATTATATCTGTTTATTAAAATAGTTTCTTCCGGAAACAACGGACCATATGAGATTCCAAGTCACAGTTCATCTCACTTAGCACGGCGTTCGTGGCTCGACTGGTCGAGACTGTTTTCCAAGATGGCTCCTGTCTGTATACGCATAATGTACTGTCTATATTAATTATCTTCTTATTAAACTGTTTGTACACTTAAGTTCTCAATGCTTCGGTTTGCATGTAGAGACCCTCATTATGCTACCGTGTTAGTGTGGGGCTATTTTGAGCCTTGTTAGTGGTATTAACTAGCGATTTTCTTTTGCTTATTCTATGCCCCATATACTAGCGTTATAAGCTAAACAGTTTTTAGAGATAAAACTCTACGTACATTCAATTATCATGAAAACGCATCCCAGAGAACAATCAACTCGGTAACCATGTGTTAATTACCCCTAGGTTAATTTTTCACCGGAATTGTCCTTTAAGAGGTTTTTTGTATGTTGCAAAAGTAAATATTGGAAAAATGTAAATCTTTTGAGAAGTGTTGCAAAGGTGTAAAAGTGACCTGTTAAAAGTGATTTTCCATTTGTCGATTTGCCACATTTTGTTACATTTCATGTGTGGTTTCAGGCTTTCAAGCCTTTGGCAAAAAATAAAAAATAATAAAGTTAAATGCTTTATTGTGTGTGATTTGCATGTTTAATTTATTTTAAGACATTGAATGTACTGGAGCAGTGCAGTTAGCAGACCAATAGCTGAAGATCTAAAATAAGTTAAAATGGTTGGTTCAGCTCATTTAATTGTCTTATTTTTATATACAAATGGGCTTAAATGTTAAGTTAACAGAACTAAGATTTGTTTTGATCTCACATGGCCTGCACTGTGTTGGATTTACTTAAAATGTATATGCACCATTTTTGCATCATACTTTTTAAGTAATCCCAACTTGGAACTATTTTACATAAAATAAACAAGAAAACCTTTGTTATATGTACTTAAATATTTGAGTTCACATAACATTCTTTACTTAAAAATATATGTAACGTGATGCATATATTTTTAAGTAAAGAATGTTGCGTGAACTCAAATATTTAAGTACATATAACAACGGTTTTCTTGTTAATTTTAAGTAAAATTATTCCAAGTTGGGATTACTTAAAAAGTATGATGCAAAAATGGTGCATATATATTTTAAGTAAATCCAACACATCATTTTTTAGAGTGTGAGTAGAAAGTAGTTTACATCAATGGAAACATATATGATGCGGAATACTGAAAAACTGGTAACTTATTAGATATGATTGCAGCACCAGAGATTAATGTATATAAGACACCAAATGGAAAAGAAAAAAATTAATATTCAAATATTATTTTCTATTTGAACTTTGTGTAGATATTGTGGCTTTCATATGTTTTAATTTCACGTTTGTCTTGCTACTATCCTTTGCTAAAATCACAAATATAATATTTATTTTTTGTTTCCTTTTTTCAAGTCTCAACAAAGCTACGTAAATTCACCTAAACCATCTGTTGGGAAAATTGCAGGAAAATAGCAGCATACAAAAACATGATAACCTTAACACATTAAGCTTTAAGTAGCTAAACAGCTAAATAAACAACGATGAAAAGTTTAAAATCAAAGATCAACAGCCATGAGAGAATCAAAAAAAAAAAAAACATTTTGTAAAAACAAAAAGAAGGAAAAAATAGGTAGTCTAAACATTTGGACAATTAAATCAATGAATTTAACACAAAAAGTACTTATTAAAAAAAACAAATGTGTCTTCTTGATAATCAACCACAGTGAAACCACGTACAATGTGTCGACCATTATTCTGTAAATATGAGTGAAGGCGAACAATGTATAATTATCATTTCAGCTGTATATACTGTAAAAAGTGATAAAAGAAGTGCTAGATAATATCTACACAGGGTGATCAACACTGTTTGTGTGATTACAGACATTGCTGATTGGTCAAAATACATTCAGAGTACCACACAGATTTGCTCTGGAGAGAGATGCATAGCAGTTCCAGTTCAATGAGACAAAACGGAGAGAAGGAAAGTGCTCGGCTGAATATGAGAAAAATACAACAATGCATACTGTTCATGGGAGGCAACACACCTTAACTGCCCAACAATAAGATCTACAGCAAATCATAAGTAGTTTTGAACCTTATTTGATCGAAAGCTCGAGAAGAAAAGTAACGCATAATGCATAGAAGTCCAGATCAAGAAAAAAAAAAAGAAAGAAAAAAAGGATAAGCTGAAATGGTGAGTTAGTAAGAGCAAACTCTGTTACAACAAACTTTACTCTTCAGTTAATGACTTTCCTGAACTGAATCACATTCAATGGAACATTTTTGGCCGGTGACAAATATAATGCTGAAAAATCATTAATAAAACCGTAATTAAGCCCAGCGTATTACAACATATTTGTAAATAAACGCGTTAACACATTTATGCATATTAAAAAGGTTAAAAATTTAGCACGTACAGAAAACTATATGGAGAAAAAAAAATGAACTAAAGACCAACTTCTTGCATAAAACCTAGTAATTGAAATCATTAAAAAAAAACATAGGGCATTAAACTAGTGTTTTAATGTCAGCACTGTGTAACACTGCAAGTGGCACTGAATGATTTTAACGTGAATCGTCAATTACACACATGTAAACCTCTCCAAATACATATTAAAGTGTAAGTAAATAAAACTAAACAAAACAATAATTTATAACTTGAATACAACGCTTGCTCATTGTGACCCTATATAGTAGATGACGTGACTTCTTTTCCAGCACAGTGTTTTGCCGTGTTAATAAGAAAAACTACATCTGGGAAGCTTTCTGCAGAGCTATATACAGAGAGTATACACTATTGTGTTTCCATCAAATAAACATAAAAAAGGGTATTATGGCCAAAGGAATTGCCCTGTATCAGTTTCGTTCTTCACATGAAGGGCTAACATATTAGAACCGATTATTTTACAGTTAAACTAAATTCATCATTCTAGTTTTCTCAAATTTATACATTATTTAGTATCTGATGCACACATGCACCACTGTAGTACAGTATTTCACTACACAGATGCTCCAGGCCAGCTTATCAGCCTTAGGTGCGAAAAAGATGCTCACTTACCAAGACCTACAGCCAATGTCATTTTCTCACCAGATATGTACTAAACATGATAGAAGATAAGAAAATGGAATTGGAAATGTAGTACAATGTCAGAGTACTACCTTGAAACTATAAAGAAATCTGTAAACAACCGTTCTTTAGCAAGGTTTTGTCAACATTGCTCATAATTGTTTTGCAAGAAACATGCTTGTAATAAATCAAACCGACTGAAATGTTTATATAAAGAGGCATTTTGAACTAAAGACTTATTCAGACTTCCCAAATTAATCAGTTATTTGCTGTGGTTTCAATTTTGAATGGGCTAGACTTGCTCTGTTAAAGTTAGAAATTAAGTTCAAATAGTTGCTAAAAGAAGTTAACACTTCTGTGCTTGACTGACTGACCGACTTAGCTTAAGTTTAATCAAAAGCCATCAATACTTTGGTGTAGTCAACTGTAGGCAGTCCACACGTTTTGACAGTCCTGCGGTATACTGAAGATATGGAGCATCAGTACATTCCAGTTCAACAGAATGACATTCAGAATAAAGTCTTTGGAGACTGGATGCTCATTTCTACACTTCCGTTGTCACCATACATCACAGAGGCAGTTTGTATCTTGGACTTGTGTTAGTAAAGTTGCTTGTAAAGTGAACAGTGTTATTCACATACACATTTTGCTCATTACAATCAAGCTCAAAATAAATAATTAGTAGTGTACCAGTCTCTGAAAAAGTACCAAAAGGTTTCATTACCAACATTCTGCAACTAACGTATCAATATGGCACCAAACACATGCCAATATCAAGAGTCTGATCACTCTGTGTCTACAGTGTAAACACCATCAAGAGCGATAGGAGAGTTACCCTGTCAAACCTAACCTGGTCTTTCAGTAAACCAATCCACCTTGGTGCTAAAACATCCAGTAAACATTCACTTCTATGTCACGTGGTGCCATCAATCCAAGTGTTTCCTTGCCTCACCACATATGTGTGTAGGACAAACATGAACATCAATTGATCTGGTACAGCTTTTGCAGTGTGAATTCAGTCACAGCAAAGGCCTCATATGGACAGTCCATCCCAGTGATAACTACAAAACACAGTACTACTAAGAGTATTAAGTGCTGAATTATGTTATACTGACTGAATTCAAAGAAAAAGTCAACTTAAACACAGTTATTTTCGGTACAGACATAACATTGGTCTCCTCGCACAAAAACGCCGCTCTAAACTATAAATGGCTGCTTGTGAATATTTTCAAAAACGGTTCCATTCACAAGTATTAGTGAACAGGTCACAGGAATCTTTAAAAAAAAAATCGAAATAAAGTTATGGAAAATTTACGAAATACGAAAAAGGCCATTTGGCATCTCCACATTTAGTGCCCGTCTTTTTTCACAACATATACGGTTGTTCTTGCAAACCTAGAGTAACTGCATGACATGAAATGTGTCCGTGTGAAAGAATAAACTTGCGTTCTGTCACAAGTTATCAACAATGCATTGTCCTTTTATAAGAAATATATATTTTGCCAGAAATCTTAAGTTACAATGCGCTTCTGAGATCTTTTACTTCTTCGAGATCTTCCCAGCTTTTCTCTTGGGCTCATAGGGTGTTCTCAGGATGCTGGGCGTCTCTTCCATAACCCTGACCAGCAGGTTATCAATGTAGTCCTCCAGCTCCCGAATATGAGCATCTTTCTTTCTTACCACCTCTTTCTGCTTGATGAGCTCTTGCGCAACTTCCTCAAAGGAGAGATTGCTGTAGGCCGCCATATTCGCATGCAGATGTTCAGGCTCCTATGCGTGAAGAAGAACGGATGACATATGATTGTTAAATGTACCATGTATTAAAAACATTTAGAAAATACTACTTGATTGCTCATATAATGCTGGGAATTAAAACTGTTCTCTGAAGTGCGTAAATCAATTGTGCATATTTTGACCTATAATTTGATATTTTTGCTAAATTTCCAACATGAAACAATGTTAATTTAAACTCTTCACATTGGTTTGTAAACAGACAAGTGGATAAGCAATAATGCCACATACAGTAGTAGCTGGACAAAATAAACTAGGCAAAAATAGTGTAAAAGAGTGAAATAAACATGGCAATGTTTCCTTCAAAACAGAACTCACTTGATAAATGAGCTTTTATTTAAGGTGTTGCTCTAAACGTTCAAGCCTCAGTTCTCTCAAGCAGAGTGATTATGTGTTGACATGAGAAGTGTCTGCATCTGACTTAACCATGATATTGAGGGAACAGCAATTTAGAAACATTTGCTCATCTGCTATCATGCGTCTGACAAATTCACACTTTTTGCTGTCAAGGTGAAAACAAGCACTAAATGCAGTCAGTTGATAAAATCTCTCAAAGAGCTTATCCATTTCACTGTTGTCAAAATATGAGCCAATGTCTCTCAGTCCTGCTTAATTACTGATGCTTAGATAATTACAATAAAACTGCCACCCAAAATCAACATCAACACAACAGGACACAGACCTGAAATTCATCTAATTACCAAACACTCCAAATAGCTCCGATAGCTCTGATAAGGTTATCTGGGTGTTTAAGGAAATGAAATTTAAGCCCTTAATATTTTTTGATGCAAATTATTATAATAAATGAATATATTAGGTCATTAAATAAGGTTTTAAAGGTTGTATCAGTGATTTCAGGCCCAAAAATAAAGACAGGGGCGGGCAGCTAGCGGATCGTTAGGAAAAATTAGATGAATGTGATCATTTATTTTTGGGCCTGAAATCACTGATACAACCTTTAACTGGGACGTTTTAAATATAATTTCTTTGGTTAGTTCAATGGTGATTAGTATGGAAGCTTGTTTCCGCCACTGAATAAAAACTGGTAAATGCATCCTTTTATCTAACAATTATGACTTTTTATATCCCAATTCAGACTTTTTTTTCTAAGAATTGCGTAATATAAAGTTGCAGTTGCATGTTATAAAGTCAGATTTGCGATTCTGACTTTATTCCTCGCAATTGCGAGTTTATATCCTGCAATTCTGACTTTATAACTTGCAATTGCAAGAAAAAAGTCTGAATTGCAAGTAAAGAATTGCAAGATATAAATTTTCAATTGCGAGAAATAAGTCTGAATTGCGATTCTAACTATTTCTCGCAATTCTGACTTTTTTGAGTCCTTAATTTTTATCTGCGAGATAAAAGGCGCAATTATCTTTGACATTTTTTCATTACATGGTGGAAACAAGATTACGTAGATTAGGGCTAGGCGGCATACTTCAGTAAGCAGAGAAAACGTTTCAAAGTCATAAAATGTTTAATGAGTAGAACACAGTATAATTCTAGTTTAAATAATCAATACATTTCCTCGAACGTTTTATTTTCCTTCATAAAATATTTTCACCACATTTATTCATATGCACCAAAATTGCCTCACATTTGGCTACTAGAGTAGTTAGTGAAAATGAAATTTACTTTCTCAAATTTAAAACCTCCACAAAGAATATAACACTTTTTACAGTCTTAACTTTTGAAAAGTGAATTAAACACATTTGATTATTTTATGGGTAGCCATGTGTGATGATAAATATAATTAAAATATTAAAACCTGTATAAATGATCCGTGTTTATAGTATGTATAATATTAAATGTAAGACTAATACATTGCACTTGTTAGGAAATAATACTATGCAGGAACAAGCCTCAACACTTTTAACCTGAAGCCTCAGAGTCTGAACTGCTTCTGGGTTTGAACTTGATCCACCATATCGGACAGATGTTTATACATGTGACACTTTGATTATGATTATACTCCTTAGATTACGGTAATGAAAACAAAACATTCCTTCTCTTTTTCCCTGAGGAAACAGCAGAACAAATTTGACTCCATAAAACTGCCATTCTAGAAACTAATGCAAAAATACAGTGGCCCTAAAAAGCATTTAGACACGTAAATCAAAATGTGAATGTCATTGCATTAGATAACACAATAGAAAACCAAGTAGCATTTATTTTAAAGGGAAAAAGTACACTTAAAGTACAGTTAAAAAAGGTACACTTTCCAAGAAAAACATTTTGCAGAATGAATCTATTGTAAAAAAAAAAGAAGAAAAAAAGATATATCGCTCAAAATTAAGGCAAAAAGAATTTGGATGCTTTATTGTTTCTGGTAGTGGAATATTTAGTTAATGTGATGAACTACACCTTTAGTGAACTTATACATCCACTAAAACTCATCATTATTTCATAACAGGTTCATCATTTGTTTGATGCCACTTGCATGCAATAAAATTCAAACATTTTTAGGTGTGCTTGTTGAGTTGATTGTTTGGTAATTCAGGTCAACAGACAACGCAAGCCAAAACAACACTTTCTGGCACATACAGAACAGCAAACACTGAATCAAAGGAAGATTTCGAGAAAGAGATGCTGCATGAATTGCAAAACCACCAGGGCACAAGCTAGCGGGGGCAGGAAAAGAGCCCAGGAAATGACCATGAACTGCCAAGCAGCTGATGAGCAGATTTAGGCAATCAGGAGTGTGGGAGAGATAAGACTTCCACTTGGCATTCTTCAGTTGTCTCATTATGAGCACTAATGAGGGCCTTTGCGTTGAAAATCTAAAACTCCAAGTCCTTTGAAATGCCTCGGCCGACTCTCCCACCCCCCACCCCCCATCCTTTAATTAAGGCCTTAGAGTGCCAGAGACACTATTTCACGGATGCAGTGTTAACATAACCTCAAAAATGGGTGAGGAAAGCCATTTTCAGCAACGCGTCTCCAGTTTCAACATCACTTCAGCAGCTATTCTCACACAGCAGACAAGCAAACGTCACGTTACTCTGCGCTGGACATCATGATGACGATCACAATCAGTATAATTATGACAAAGTGAGAGAGGGCTCCTTTCCACGTTTAACACTGACCGTGGTTTGACCTACAGTGTAAAATTAGACCAGTGACAAATTGCGTATTATTAATGATTAGATTTCCAATTATTGAGTGAGAGAACATACTGTCCGAGATGGTTCACTAACGAAATGGAAGCGCACTAATAACATCACACTACTTCAAATTACATGCAGATCACAGACGATGACCACCCATTTCAGCTGTTAATTAGATAAATGGGCCTCCAAGCAGAGCGCTACAAGTGATACTCAGTCAGAGATCAGCATCATCAACTTCCATGTATAATAGGCCTGCAATAAATGACCAATTAAAACTTTGGGCAAGTTTGGAAAACTTGTGTGAGAAATGTGGTCAAGCTGTGTCTGGACAGACTGAACAGTGACAATGTGAAAGTACACCCTTGTTTACCAATGCGTAGAAACGGAAAATAATATTCTTACATTTAGTGTGGTCACATAATTCAACTTTATATGTATGACAATAGTGTAAAGCATAAAAAAAATGGAGTGTGCAATATTTCTTTTGAATGAACGTACCTGTTCTCTTGCATGTTTCATGCCATGCTTCTTCTCGGGAGAGTTTTTGAATCTCTGAGTAAGGTCCTCATTACTAGTGGGATTTCTCATGTTGTCACTGTTAAACAAAAAAGAAATGTCAGATCAAATTTTACTCCAATAAATGTGTAAATTGTGTTCCAAACCACCTGGTAATATGCATGCTAATAAGCAACTAGTTAATAGTGAGAATTGGACCCTAAACTAAAGTGTTCTGCCTTTTTTATCTCACAAGAAAGTCCTTAATTTAACGTTCTGACCTATCAATACTGGTGAAATCTTGCTCAACACCAACAAGTACTGTCATAAAACACATCAAATCCTCTAGCGCAACTACCACTTGCCAGCAAAAGTTTGGTATCATTTTTGAGTTGACCTTTAGTGAAGTGACAGAGGGTCAGGAAATGGTTTGACGCCCCCTCACACGCAAACAGCCAGTCTACTTTTCATTTCCTAACAATTGGTCACTAACCACAAAGGATTTGCCACCAGTTACGGCTCACACAGTAGGGGTGGGCGGTACGACCAAAATCATATATCACAGTATGAGCAATTTTAAACCACAGTAACGGTGTATGTCTTAATTTCCTCATTTGTTTTAAACATTTAAAAGCTTAGGGTCGGTAAGATTTTTAAAAAAATGTTTTTCAAAGTCTCTTATTCTCTTTGATCAAAAATACAGTAAACAATGTTGTTAATAAATATATATATAAACTGCTAATCTGTTTTAAATGTTTCTTCATGTGATGGCAAAGCTGAATTTCCAACAACATTACTCCAGTCTTCAGTGTCAAATGATCCTTGAGAAATCATTCTAATTATGCTGATTTGGTTGTTAAGAAACTTTTCTTATTATTATTATAGTTGAAAAAAGTTGTTCTGCTTAATATTTTTGCGGAAACCCTTATGCATTTGTTTTCTGAATTTCAAGGATGAAAACCGACAGTAATCACTGTGTATACAATCTAAAATTCAGATATGGTAATGGACGTTTTGTTATAGACCAATCACAACAGGCATGGCCATCTGACCAATCAGAGCAGAGTATGCTCTCGGAAAGGAGGAGAGTAAAGAGACCGGATCCTTGATCAAGCCGTTTCAGACACTGTGAGAAAAGAGGTGATTCTGCAATCTATATTATGAGAAAATCAAAGTGTTGTTGACCTTGGATACATGTAAACCTATTGTAGGAGACATCCAAAACAAAATTAGGAACCTTTAATATAGCATAATAGGTGCACTCAAGAAAAAAAGAGGGGGAAAAAACAACCTTTTGTAAACAACACCTTTTGTGACATGTCTCTTTTGATCAGTTTAATGTGTCCTTTCTTGTTTTCATTTCTTTCCCCAAACCCCCTTTCCTTTACACAGTAGTGTAGATTATATGCAATGTACTAATTTCTATAAGACAATCTAGTGACAAATAGATTTATAAAATTGTTAAAAAATGATATCTTATTATATAGTATTATATATTATAATAACATAAAATTATTATGTTTGATCATATTTTAGTAAAATTACACATAGATGAATAAGTCTAACATCAAAGCAAAAACGGCTTCACATTTTTAACCACACATCAGTTAAATTTTATATAATCCTGCAATGTATAAAAATCCATTACACTGTTATCTACACTGAAAATGCTTGCCTGCGACATTTTGCAGATTATACTAAAGGTTGCAATTTGATCATAAAAAATCATAACAGGAAATTAGGAAATTTAACCAGTTGACATTTTTTCCACCCATACCACAACAGTCAAACACCATTGCAACTTGCAGGAAAATAAACTGACTTTAAGCTTACATGGGCGATCCTTTAATGATAAAAACTTGTGAACGGATGGGATACATTAAGGATGCTGGTTGTAAAAAGTCAGTTAATGTATAAGGTTGGAAAGATCACATATATCTTTGTACACTAGACAACATTAAGCATGTTTGTTAAATGTCTTTTCAGCTAACCTGTGACCCCTGGAAGACCTTTGATTTAAGATGAGAGAGTAATCTGAGAGGATGAGCGGCCTGGTAGGCTACGGGCAGATAAATTGTTAATTGAATGGTCTATCTCTCATTCAGATCTCATTACTGTGACTTGGTCAGGCCCCTGTAGCCTGGATTGGGCCTAATGACATCGATAAGGTCTTCCTAATGACAGACTTTCTCTGATAAACATTAAGTGCTTGACTTTCCTCACCTAACTCTACTGAGAAAAGAGCAGATGTTGGGAATGAGATGCACTAGAAGACAGTCCTCAGCAATTATTTTAATATAATCTATAATACTATCATAAAAGTATAGTACTACTTAAATATCTATTTGATTATTAAGTTTAATTATTGATTCAATTTTTCCTCATTGAACAGTATGGTGTAAAAAAAGATACTAATGGTATTTGACCTCAAGTAACTATAATGAAAGCTTGATAAACAAATTTAAGACAAAAACAAAATGGCTAAAAACAAATTGTACCTGGATCTGTAGTGTGAGATGAAAGGGTTGGTTTCACTTGAGGTTTCATTGGTAAAGGGGTTTGGAGATCGCAGGTCTCCAGAGCTTCCGGTCCGTGCTCCAGTGGCCGCTTTCTTTCCTTCCTTCTTCCCAGTCACTCTGCCCAGAAGACTGAGCTTCTCCTTCTTCTCTTTCTTCTCTGCCCCCCACATCATCCCCTGATCTCCCTCGAAGGGATTGTGGTTGCGAGGGAGAGTGGCGAACTTCTGGGGCATGTTGTCTCCGATGTCGGAAAAGGGGTCACATGGCACGTCGCTGTTTGGGACACCATATCCATCGCTCTGAGAGTGTCGGTGAGATGCAGTGCCCCCTACGGATGAGAAAGACAATGTTTTCTTTAGCATTTCTCTATAGAGTGCAGCAGGGATGACGTATTTGTTTAGTCCAAAACCCAGAAACAATTCAGTATTTTAGCACTTTAGTTAAATGCATGAAATTATGTCTGTGGTGAACAAGCTCAAGAAATTTCTTGTCTCAAGTTTTGTTCTATGATGTAAAAGACATAAGTAATACCCCTTGTGATTTTTTTAAGCAAAAGGCGGTTGCTAACAAATGGCTAAATGGGACTACAGAAGTTGTCGGGGGCATTAAACATCACACTAACAGATAATTTCATCTACTTACTAGTCCACATTACAGCCTTATTGTGTTTATAATCCTGCTCTTGCAAACTATTCTAATTTCTAACTCAAACTTTCAGTGTAAATGTCTTTTTTTATTTTTTTATATAGACAGAAAGAGTTGTCAGAAGCTTAGTGATGGTGATGTTAAAGTCTTGTGGCTATACTAAAGTTCATTTAAAGACTATGTTTAGCTTTTTACTTATGGTTGTTTACGCTGGTTGTTCATTTGTGAAGGTGAACAATACGTTTAAGAATCATAAACTTTTGTTGGTCACATAGCTTATTTTCCACAATAATCTAAAAGCCAATGGAAAAATCCTATTGTGTTTTTGTCGAGGGAACCAGGGTGATCCTTGCTTCCAGGTTGGCCAACAAAAATGCATCACTCTATAGTAAACAATACCTTTTGCTGCTAATATCACACAATAATTAAACACATGAAAAAAGAAAATATAAAAGAATAAAATTGCTATACTGAGCACAGTGAACTACATGAGCAGACCATGTACTCTATGTCCTCACCTTTCTCCTCAATTGAGTTCATAGAGTCGAGTTTAGGCCTGAAGTGAGTTCCTATCAGATCAGACATGGAGTGAGCAGCAGAAAGTTTCTGCGTCCCAGTGAGCAGCGAGCGTTTTGGCTTGGGTTCAGGTGCAGCCTGAGGGTGCGGGTGCTGGTCTGGCAGAGAATCAGTCTCGCTCCGTCCTGAGCGTGGAAGGATGGCAGAAGATGTGTCTGAAAAGGCACCGTCGTGCTTGCGACCCTTCATCTTTTCCTTGAGCTTGGAGAACGGCGATCTGGGTTTGTCTCGCATCGACAAATCGAACATGCTGGCAGTCATGTTGTTCCGCATGAACTGGATGCTAACTTGAATCTTGCCTCTGTCTTTCCTCTTCTTTCCAGGCCGTGAGTCTAGATTGTACCAGCTGACAAGAGAGAGACAAGAGAGACAGGCATATAGCTCAATTTTATCAATAAAACTGTCTGAAATACAGAAAACATTGAAAAAAGACAAATTAACTAACAGAGTAGATACACTTGATGTCACTTTGGACTAGGCTATGTGTGCTATGTGTAACAGACAAAGGCCAGTAAGAGCTGCGTGTGTAAACCTCACTCCTCTGGCCTAAAGAGGAGTGTTAGCGACTGATGCTAGCGGCTGCAGTCTTTATTGTTCTTGTTAGCGTGCCCACCTCTCACGCTGGATACCCGGTTCGAATCCCGCTAGGAGCAGGTCGAGTAGGACCGGTTACATTTTGTGCCCTGACTCAGATGAGAGTGAGGTTTAGGGGAGTGAGTGTAACGGACGTAGGCCAGTAAGAGCTGTGCGTACCTCACTCCCCTGGCTGCGATCTTTAGGATCCTTGTTGGCGTGCCCACCTCCCACGCCAGTTCGAATCCCACTCGGAGCGGGTCAAGTAGGACCGGCTACTTTTGTTCCTGTGACCCGGATGGGAGTGAGGTTTAGGGGAGTGAGTGTAACAGACTAACCAGTAAGTGCTGTGCGTGTAAACCTCAGTCCCCTGTCTTTAAGAGACACATACGCGGCTGCAGTCTTTAGCGTCCTTGTCCTCCCATGTCGAAGACCATGGTTCGAATCCCACTCGGAGCGGGTCGAGTAGGACCGGTTAAATGTGCATTTTCAATCATGCTCTTCTTATCAATATATAATGTAATGTTTGACTATTATATAACCATTCGTTTTTAAAGAAAGATTTCCTATGAATATTTATTATTGTTTATACTTCAAAACGGCTGATTATCCATAAAAAATTTTTTAAACTGGGTAAAAAAATAAAATAAATAATAATAATCAATTTTCCAGTTAACACAACACTATTATTCCAAAAACTCAATTAGTGAAGTTGACTAGTTATTCTAGATTTTTTTTATCGTTGTGTCACGTGCATGGTTGGCCTCTTAGGTGTTATTGGAAACAGCTAGGCTGGTGCTACATGCGCCAGTAATTTGCAGATGTTCCAGTGTACTTTCACAGCTTGATAAAAACAAACAGGAGAAAACCGCACACTCTTTCACTTCTCCTTTTCTGTGAAACCCCCCTGGTGGCAAGACTCTCTTTCAGGCTTTGCTCTGTATGTATAATTCATACAAAAACGACATGGGGGCAATGTGTTTGTCTGGCCAGAAACCCAATTTCACTTCACACAAATCCACAGCATAGTCCATTTAGTCCATTTGAAAGCCTTCCCCCTTCCTGAGAACGCATATTATAGCAGGGATAAACATAATTCCCTGGTAACTGCAAAGGTTTGGGCCACATAAAGAATGTGAAGTAATACGCCCCCATCTAGGCCATTCCCCGGCTCCTGTTTATTTAACCTCTTGCTCTTTTTTTCTGCTGGAAGTAATGTGATTGATGCTGTAACTGTGTGAAAAGGAGGTGGCATTTGCACAAATCTGGCCTTTGTTCATTGATGCTCACACCGGTATTTGGAGATTATGAAATGGACAATATTTCAGCAGAGCCGCATGATGCTCCTGCGATATAAGACACTTGGAGCAGGATCATTAATTTAGAAATGATCGCTGTGAACACTTAATGTAGGTACAATACTAGACAGAGATTTGGATAGTGTTCAATGAGTGAATTATGCAATACATCATCTTACACCTGCATAGGCAAACATATGGTGGCAAAGCATATTCGAGATTTTTTTATTAGTCGATATTTGAAAATTTTGACATTTGTCGGACGATATTGTATATTTATTGTGCACGCTCATTTTCCCTATTTTTTTAGATGACCATTTGCCATCATTTAACGCTCAGAAAGTTAATTATTAAAAACACTAATAATTATCTCTTTATACAATTTAACAAATAATTAATGATGATTGTGAACAAATTACTGATGTGAGATTTTTTTAAACAATAACAGATACAGATTAACTGTATAATTTAAGTAGTTTTCTTATGTAAATTTATTATTAGACATTTTTGAGGTTGGAAAGTTTGTAATTATTCTATATTGTTCCTTTGGATAGTACTTTTTTCCATCCATTTTCCACACTGTACATTATAATGGTGCGATGTCTAGACTCACTTGTGTTTAAATTGACTGATTTTAGTATTTGATAATTTATTAAGACAAAATGTTATAGAATGTAAATTTTGGACTAACATGAAAATAATTATTGGTTTATGGTATTATATCTGTGCACCCATATTCAAATGAAAAAGGAATAAAACATGACAACCCTAACTGTGTTGAATGGGATTGTATATTTTTGTACAAACACAGTTTTTTGACCTCAGCACTGATTAAAAAGACACTCTGTACACTCAAAAACCAGCCCTGCAGAAATGTAGTTTTACACTTCCACCCTAGACACAGTGCTTTCATGCAAACACTACTGTAAACACTCCTTCAGTATCGGAACACGGTTCCCTCTGGGGTCGTCACAGGCTGCCATCTTGCTGAGTGCTCTTCTTCCTTCATGGCACAGCTAGTGAATGGTGATTATGTTTCTTTCCAAGACCATCCACACACTGGGGAGCTTGTAGATCCGAGGGAAGAGGGTTTACCTGGTCTCAGGCCCAGTAAGGGAGCTCTGATCTGGGCATGTGGAGAGTCAGCCAGCCCCTGTTCTTCACATGGGAGTCAAGGCCAAGATAAATCTTCCTCTGCCTGGAACCACAATACTCCCACTCTGCGAGGGCCGCTGGGAACCAGCGTACAATCAACAAACACAGGTGTGCGATAATTAGGGTCTGTCGACTCCAATGTCGAAACGGACTCTTGTACCCAAGCGTCAGTTAGTAGGAAACCTTTGCATGAACAGAGTCATTGGAGACTACTAACCCTGAGAGTCCATGGGATGCAAGGTTGGTAGAGTGATTTGTGCCACGAGTGTCAAAAATGATCTCAGCAATCAGTTACACTACATAACTCCCTCCCAAGGGTGTGACACCATAGTATCATTGAATAAATACAGGCCCTGATTGTGACATACCGACAATATAAGCTTGGAGGAAGTGTTGTAATATCCAGGAGAGTAAGGATGCATCTATATTAATATTCTAGCAGATACCAGCAATAAGCTAATAATTATGCTGTAATGTCATAGCTGGGAATGACGTCACACCCAAGTTAAAATAGACTACTAAGATAGAAAACTAAGATGGGCGCATCCAAGCAAACCTTTGTTGTGCTCTTTTTTGCACAGATAATCCTGAAGTATCATGTTCACAAATAGAATTTGGTTAGTACTGTGTGTGCAGTGTGCACCACTGAATTTGTTGAGACACAGACAAACGGAAGAACTAATAAACAATATAGTTGCGTCCCAATTCAGAGGCTGCATCCTTCGAAGGCCGTATTCCGAAGGCCGATTGCTTCAGAGCGGCACGACGAAGGCTGTCCCAAATCTCCTTTAAATGCGACCTCGAAATGCATCTTTCATTTCCTGGGCAATGAAGGATACAATAGATGGATCCTTAACGGCCTACCCTATCCCAGAATTAATTTAAGTCAGTGACGACAGGATTTTTAGAGAAATGGCTGTATTACACTATTAAATGTAAGTATTGGGTTTAAACTTAATCGAATATCTAAATTATTCAAATGTAAAAAATAAATAAAAAAAACTTTAAAGAGGTTCAAATGTTGACATATCTTACGAAGATAGTTACTACTTATCATGGAGTGACATGATATACTTTTATAGTTTATACTCTTTATTATATGTACAGAAATGGACAACCGTGAACATATTTAGAAAGGTTGTTAACCCTGTTTTGTTTTCAGACAGTTGAATATATCCAAAGTCTCTTTCAGGCAAGTCATTTCAGTTTGCGGCCATCTTTGAAATGCCTCTCGGGCAGCTATTTCATGCAGTACAGCTCCTATCTCTTTGAATGGGGAAACATCAAATTCTACAAAGCTGCTCACCAAGCTTATGATTAAATTGCATATTTGAAATCGCCAGTGAAATCTGTGACAACTGTCTGAAATTTTGTTTCCAAACGCTCAAATCAGGACAAAAAAACTGCATTTTTCAGGCTGGACCAGACAACCGGAGCTTCTAAGGGTAGCTGCAGTGATGCAATGACTTTACAAATTGGCGATTGGCTCTTTTACTTAGAAGGCGGGACTTGTATATATATATATATATATATATATATATATATTTAGTATATCTAGCCTGCCCTAAAGTCTTTGATATAACTTTAAAAAAGTCCAGTACAAACGTTACTGCCGCTCGCCAACGGCAGCTGTCACAGTTGCCAGGCAACAAGAACAATCCTCCATAGGCTAGATCATCCCGGCCAAATTCTTCCCATTGGCCTCTGTCCATCATGGCCTCCTAATCATCCCCATATATACTGATTGGCTTCATCACTCTGTCTCCTCTCCACCAATAAGCTGGTGTGTGGAGGGCGTTCTGGCGCAATATGGCTGCCGTCGCATCATCCAGGTGGATGCTGCACATTGGTGGTGGTTGAGGAGATCCCCCCTTCCATATGTAAAGTGTTTTGAGTACCTAGAAAAGCGCTATATAAATGTAACAAATTATTAATTTAAGGCGTGGCCTTTGAAGTCTGCATCCTTCGCAGGAATTGGGACACAGCTTATATTACTACTGATTTGCTATGGTTGATGCGCAAAGCAGCCATATTGAATTCTGAAGTCAGGGTTGTTGCGCTTCCCCGGAGTTTCCCAGTCGCAACTCTGACTTGAGGGGGCGTTCTATTTAAAAGTTCCTACTGGGAACCGGGACTTTCCCACTTCCGAAAGACAAATGGAATGCAACATTATTTTTCATATTATGGCCAATAACTGCAGATAATAAAATCCTACACTATTCAAAACATACTTACACTTTACTTACTTACATGTAGATAAAAGCAAATAGTAATATTTTCAAAACTACATTTAGTAATTTCTGTCATTTTCTGCATTCAATAACAATAGGTATGCAGCACTGCCTTTTCTACTTCAACCAGCCATACCTGTTTCTTTCTCAGTACTCAAATAAGCTATTGCTGGTCTGTACATGCCTAAAAAAGTTAAATCAGAAAATATTAAGACGCACTAATGAATTAGTCTTGACATTTATTTACAGAAAGTAGCCTATGTCACATCTGAAAATAAAAGAGGAGGAACTCAGAAGTAGAAGAACATAAAATGATTAAGTTTCTTTAAAGACAATACAGTCACGGTCACCACTGCCTGACAAAAAGAAAGGAAAATATAACAGCATGCAGGATAATCATCCTCACTAAACCGGTTCATCCGCCATGGGATTGTGACTCAATAATGCCGTTAAAAGAAGTCAAAAGACCTTTATCTGAGTTGCATACCAGAACAAAATGGCCTACATCAGATGGTTGCCCTTCCATAGTATTGTACAGCAATGGCATGTCCAAAGACATTTAAAACTCAGACAACAGGTTTCAAAAACAAAGACATGATTACACCAAAGTTTCACGTCAGCAACGTGGAGTTAAAGTTACAGGAGTTAAAAATAGCCCAGGTAATTTCAAAACCTTTCATTCTGTTATTCTTTGAGTACTATTGGCCTCAGAATGCAGACAAGCATTAAACACTAGGGTCTATATAGGCTGATATTTCAGAGCCAGACCTTGAGGTCTGCTTTTATGATAAAGGTAATCAGTCAACAGCTATCACATGTGATCTACAAATATTCAAAACAATTATAGTTTAAAAAAAATCTAAATGAGAAAAAAAGGGCAGTGATTTCAAAAGAATTGTATAGATTGTGTAAATACAGTAGTGACGATCACTGGTACCATAAAAAGATTTGCACGTTGGGATTGCAACATTAGCTGCATTAAACTGCATTGTTTAAACACCATTCACAGTCACTAACTTCACTGTGATACTAAAAAAGGACAAAGCTTTAGTATCAGGTTCCTCTTTTAAGTTGCACTTCTGCTTATGGACTCTTTATGGACTGTGTTGGCGCCACCTTTATCAACATCTAGTAGTTTTTCATCGTTTAAAAAAAAAAGAAAAAAAAAAGAGTCAAATAAATGTATATGCCAAAGTTTGTTTCATTATGTTGGCAGTAAATTAATGCTTCTTTGAGGGTATTTCTACAATGGCTGAGAGAGTGACAGCAAAGGTAGCATGCAAAAGCTATCATGTTTTTTTTTCTTTTGCTGTTAGAGCAAATGGGAATACAAAAATGATATTTGCTGTTGTCTCCCATTCACCACTATAAAAGTTTACCCAACTATGAAGACATCTGCTTCTGAGAACCCTGGAAATGTGAAACGGCTCCATTTGAAAGAATATGTTTGTTTAGTTCTACGAGGCTTTTGCATTAAAAAGTTGACAGATCCTTAAAAGATCTGGCATCAACAATGAATGAAATATTAGCACACTTACTCAGTTTTCCGTCGTTCCTTGTTGTCAAATATCTCATTTAAGTTGATGAGTTTTTGGCCCAGAAATTTATCCAATCCAACCAGGGACCTGTGCATCACTGTGAGGCACAGCTCATAAACCTCTGGATTGCTCTCCATCAGCAGCCCTGGCAGTTCAAACGAAGCCTCTTCCTTCCACACCGGGCTGAGGGTCTTCTCTGCCACTGATGTGGAGTACTTCTCTTTGCCCAGCTGGATGATGGTGTAGGCATCGTTGGTGCCATTCTTGCCCTTTGGTTGCAGGTCTGTGGCTTGGAGAACAGTGGCTTGGACATGAGTTGGAAACCACTTCTGCGACTGCTCGCCCAATGACATGATGACCAAGTGTAAAACTATGGATTTTGGTGTGTGAAATTATAAAGTGTAGTAGCTACTTCAATTTGGCCTTGGCATTTTGTTTAGCTTCCAATCACAGTAAATGAGTGACCAAGAGGTGATAAAAGTTGAAAGTTATGTTTTACAGCGTGGGAAGAACATAATTTGTAATTACAAACGTTGTGTCTATTAACATACGTGTCTACAAAACACTCCACACATTGACCCCGCTCCAACTCAGGTCACCTAAAAAGACAAAAAGACATTAAACTTAAACTTAAATTCATATTACAATACGAATAACATCAAAATTAAAATTTTGACTTAAACGAATGACTTTACCAATACAAAAAACATAGCTACATTTATTAAAGTTTTTTTTCACTATATGTATCTCAAACGTATATATATATTATTCTCATGCAGTTATTATTACATTGTGCACATGAATTTATTCAAAATTTATTCAAAATAGTTATGTCCTGTCCTGTTAAAAATTAACAAATTAAAATAACTATTAATTAAAGATTCCAAAGGCTAATAACTATAAATATGAGTCATTCTATACAGCACACCATTGAAGTAGATGAATAGGTTGTTTTATACTGTATATGAAATTAAATAAGGAAAAAAACTGCAGTTTCAAATAAGTTTTCTGTTCAGATCTGTCACATTCATATTTTTTTTAATCAAGACCTGAAATTTTACATTAAGATTTTTTTTTTTCATATAGATTTACAACTTTCAATTTACAATTGGTGTTCATGGGTTAAATTAGTTAAACTGACCAAGTACTTCGCGGTCTTCCCTTATTTGATTCAATCAGACATGGTACAAAACCACTGAAGCATCACAGCTAGTTTTATTATTAGCCACAGTTACTGCTGCTGTCAAACATTCATACAGCACAAAGCTCTGATAATTACCTCTGAAGCATCTTTCCTCGAGCACAGCTCGCGACGCCACTGCATGTGGGATGACTGCTTAAGCGAACCGACATCAAGTATCTACATCTGTGGTGGATGGAAATGAATAAATTGCTTTAGTCGACACTAATTCATCTTAAACAAATGTATATGTGGTATTCCACATCAGCCCTGTACTCGACTTCCTAGTTCCTCATTTCCGCTGATGCGGTCACGGGTCGAAGTGGAAACTCCTCCTCTGTTGCCGTAGAAACACAGGATTTGATCAGCGCGCGCCTGGCGCTGTTCCTGGGATTCGAATGACTTGGAGGATTATTAGAGTTTTGAGCATTTCGTTTTTCCTTTTGTTGTCAGTTTTGTCAAGAAAAAAGAAAGAGGAAAAGGAATAAACAACAGCTGTTTGTAAAATATTGCAATTATATATATTAAAGATAAATAAATGTGCTATTGTGACCCTTTATGAGTTTATTCAGTAGAAGGCAACCCCTATTCGTTTTTATTGTTAATAGCAGATCATTGATGAGTAATTCATTTCTCAGGTTAAGTAGGGTGTATTAATAGGTAGGCTAAGTCAGATTAATACAGGTGAAATGGGACAAATGGTAAAGACAGACTATACTTAGCCTGGATCATATTTTAAAGACATGTCCCAATTTACCACACTGTAAAAAAAATATTTTCATGATTTGTTATCACAACTTTTGTCAAATCAACATTGATAATTAATGTCGGGTTGTAAAGGGAAGATCAAGATTAACCCTTTGAATCTGTGTCCCATTCAGGCTATCTGGGATTCTTATAATGTCCTTTCTTGTAGACAGTAAAGTCAATAAATGTCTATTGGGGGGTCTTGACAAAACTAAACCAACCATGTTAACATACTGTCTGCCAATGTTTCTTGAGTGGGGACATTGAGGTACTGATAAGAGATTCATTTAAATGTGTGTGTCACCCACTTGACGGGTAGATCTTAACCAAACACACCTGCTCTTTCATTTTATTCTCTTTCTCTCTCCTTATCCCCATCAGTCTGCCATAACCGCAGTGTTGTGTACATACCAGAGTCAGAGGCATGAGTCTGGCACATTCGTCACACATAGATTATAACTCTTATCTGGACTGTATCTCAGGATGAAAATGAACCTGGTGTGGTGAAATATTAGGTCATATAAAATGTATTTAAGACAGCTTAAACTGAGGAGGTGCCATTTCCAGTTAAGCTTCATTGCAAACACCAGGAAACAGATGAGGAACCAGAGTGGAAGAATCTCCTTACATACAAGCCCTGGAGATAGCTATATGGTCTTTTCATGGACCAATGAAACCATGTTTAATGTACATACTGTTCCTGGTTTGTATCACTCTGTTGTTTATTTTTATGAATTAGTAGTGGAGTTTTTTTCAGGGACTCTGTCTGCAGGTTACATGGTTAGTTGGTGGTGACAAGTGACTTTATGTTGAGTCAGTCATTTGAATCATTCAATGACTTATTCATTAAAAAACACTGATTCATTAAGAAGCTAAATAAGTGACTGTTTACAAATGAGTCATCAAATTATTCACTCACTCACAAGTTAGAAAACACAGATTCATTCAGGAATGCAAAAAGAGACTGTCTGTATGAACGAATCACTGAATCGTTTAGTCAAATAATTTGAAATTCAGGAACAAAGCACCACTATCGTCAGCCTATGGAAGTGCTTCGACATAAAGTGTAGTTTGAATCTCGGCTCTTGATCCTTTCTCATCTCCAATTTGCTTCTTGTCCAATTTCTAACTATCCTATCTGAATCAATGCCACAAAAATAATATTAGTAATACTAATAAAACACCACTACTGTGTGTTGCACTGGTTCTATAGCGTTTGGAACTATTTTCATTGGCGGAGCAAAAACAGACAAAGTAAAGATAAATAGGAAAGAAGACATCTTTTTCCTCTACATTCCATACATTTAGCTCTCAATTTTGCACTGTTCAGTTTTAAAGAATCTCAAGGGGTGGAAGAGGCTCATGGCTGTAAAGAGACACCACCAGGGGTCATGACACCAATCCTTAATTTGACAATTTGTTAGACACTTTCATGTATTACCTTCTAAGACCATAATACGTCTGTGTGCCTCTGGAGTGGGATAAAAACATGAAAGGCTCTACATTCCAACCTCACCTGCTTCCTTTTATTGTTCTCCTCTGATAGAGTATATAAAGGGGGAAAAAAAATCCATCAAGTCATAAATTAGCCAAGAGCAACGTATGGCCTCAGTCCACTTTTCCAGAGGAATGATGTTGTAGCCCATAAACTGTCCAATATTCAACAGGACCCTGTATTGCGTATCAGTAAGGTCCACGTGTTGGCCTGTATTAGGCATCATCTTTATGGGCCTGGATCCTGTGTAAGGTCTCTTGCCACGGTCAGACAGCTGGTTCTGCTTTAGACCCCTTTCTTCAACACTATATAGGTTGTTTTACATTTATTAAACACTTTTAAGCATCTCTGGCTGCAAGATTGCCCATCTGTTAGCGCACGACAATATATATATGCGTTCCAAGTGCAGAGGGAGCAAAAGAAGGTGAGCGGATGCCATTGTAACATCAGTAAGCCTCATAATGCACTTCAGGTTTACGGTCGGGTTGCGAGATTGATTTAAAAGGCTGTGCTTTTAGTCAAGAGGACATTCAGATTGCAGATGAAAATTTAATAATAATAAAAAAAAAAGTAGGAGAGAAGAGCACAAATCACTGCCGGCGCTGCGCTCTGTGGAATGTTAGGGTGTGCAATGCATGGTGATATATAGATCTGCAGATGTGCATGTAGCCCGCGACGGCTGGAGCAGAAATTGTAAGGGGCGTATGGCTGCCGAAAGGTCCATTGTGTGGAACAATACTTCAAGAGTGTTTATTTGAGTATCACTAAAGGCTATCACCTCTCACCCCTTCATATAGCCGCTCAAGACTGTCACGGAAGTTATAGGTTTGCACTTTGAGCATCGAGAAAACCTCTGAGGCCAAACCATAAACGGTGATGGGTTTGAAAAAAACCCAAAAACAATGTTAACATTGTCAAAGGTAACATTACGATGTTTTATGAGAGCACATTTCTTTTATCTTATCTTGTGTCAGCACAAATTCTCTTCATGATGCAACTGTCGGTGTGTGTATTTTGTGTGCATTCATATCTGTCTGAATAGTCATATGAGGATATTGAGGTTACCATTTTATGACTACAAACAAATGACAGTAAACAGGCCCGCAGACAGGGGGGGACAAACGGGTCTGTTGTCCCGGGCCCAGGGTAGGGAGGGGGGCCCAGAACTGGGCCCTCATTAAATTATGGAATAATTGTTAAAAAAATAAATAAAATAGGCATATTTGTTGAAAAAATATCTAATATTTGAGTTACATAAAAGCTTTTTATTCGTTTTCTTCCTAATTGTCCTTGAAATAGTGGTCAAGAACCCCCCCCCTCCCCCCAAACAAAAATGGTTTGGCCACTGATCGAAATATGATGTTGTCATTTGATTTGAAGTTCAGTAGGCTAACGTTACGCTCAAAATATCCGGTCAGCACAGGTCCGGTGCTCAGAAAAGAAAAGAAAAGAGAAGAGAAGAAGAAAATAGAGGCCTTCGAGATGTCCTAAACAAATATTTTTAAAAAGGTGGTGACGGTGAAGCTGGAACTAACGTTAGTAAAGTCAACGTAGAGCAAGGTAAGAAACAGCGCAGCCAACGTCTATGAGTGTTGTCAAAGACCCGGCACTTCGGTACCAAGTCGGTACAAATTTCTTTTTAAACGTCACGCCACGGTCCCAGGTTTTCTCAAACCCGGGATGCGCGTGCATGCCCAAAGCGCGTGCAGTTGCGTCCTCTTTATAAAAGCGCTGAGACATGGCGACCGGCGGTGCTGCTGCTGTGGTGGCTGTAAATCCACTTGTTGATAAGAAAGGAGGAAAGACCCACATGGAAATATTTTGGATATAGCTTGTTTTCATATGACGTCACGCCACTGCGTTGCCATGGCGCGAAATGCAAATGGAGGGCAGGAAGTGATTTGCTGTATTTAGAAAGCACTATAACAAACTCAAAATGCCTATGTTTTGCGTCGTTTATGGTTACTTAAATCGATCAAACCACGAGGAGTTTTTATCGTGTACCAAAAGTTGTTGTTCATAAGGGGGGAAATGCAAGAAATTGACCGAAAAACTCCGGGAAAACGGCTTGCAAACCTACGTCTGCGGTCGGGAGGAACCGAATGGGAAAATGCCCGTGTGTGCCGTGATCACTTCGTCAAAGGTGAGTTTATACAACTTAAGTGGCTATGTTTGTGTAACGTGTAAGTTAACGTGTAACGTTTACGAACTTTGTAAAGTCAAAGTATGTCTGTAAGACGAGGTAGTTGCTGATATCTACCGCCTCGATGGCTGGAAATCTTTCAATTCAGTTGAAAATCGCTCCTCTTAATAACGTAAGGATCACGTCCAACATGTTTGATTTTTTGTTTATATCTTTCTCTTGTAAAATAGTGTGAAAAGTAGTACAGTACGGACTTTCCTCCATCTCGTCCATTGCGCTCTTCACTCCCTGCCCTCCATCTGAATTTCGCGCGTCATCATAATCACGTGACTGAAACCCAGCTATTAGCTCATAATAGCGACGCGGCGCGCTCGTTTTTACAGGCGCGCCTAAGTTCATTGTTGCATAGCAACGACAGACGCCACGGGAGAGCAAACGCTTGTGGAAAGGAGAAAGCGGTGCGAACTGCGCTCTCCATGATGACGAGGAAGTATTAGCAAAGAATTCATTGATTTCTAGCCCTTGGATTAGCTTTACTACTATTTATGGAGATGAGAAATAAAAAGCCGGCTGAAATGCATCGTCATCATCGGTGAACAGATAATGGGTCAGATCCGAGTCTATTTTTGCTGGGCTGCTCATGCTTAAAAGTGAAAGCACACCTTTGATGGACAAAAAATAAATATGATTTCACACAAAAAGTGCCCAAAATGCACAGATTATGCATGTCTAGTGTGTTTTAACAAGAACTGCAGTAGGCTATGTCAGAAAAGAAAATGAAGACATTTATAGAAAATGTACCCATTTAAACGTGTTTTTATTATTCATTTTGGGTAAAAGTATATGGTGTTTTATAAAAATAAAAAAAATCGTGGGGGGGGGGGGGGGGGGGCCCATCTAAGATTATCTTGTCCCGGGCCCAGGC